AAATAGAGTCAAATTTTAATAATTTAATAATGTAGCTGGGAAAAAAAAAACCTGAAATTCATTTACAATTCGGGCAATTCGGGTTTAACTTGGGTCGAGCTTGGACAGACAACCTTGGGTTACAATTCGGGCTTGGGCTGGGCTTGGACAACCTCCCAACCCGACCAAACCCGCCCGAGTTGCACCCCTATGCTAAACCATCACCACATGGACGAGACTCACCACATATGAGAGAAGCAATGACATCACAATCAAGATCAGACCAAATAGGACGAGACTCTTTAGGACTCTGAAACAGTGGAACTTGACTCAAACTTAAGGTAGATGCAATTTTAAACAATCAAACTCACAAGAGACAAGCAACTTTAACGTGGAAAACTTCAATTAAGAAAAAACCATGGGCACAACGTCAAAGAATCACACAATGGGAGTGTTTGAGAACTTGGGTTTGTGGCTTTTTTGGCTAAAATAGCCAATAAAGGCAAAATAGGCTAAAACATCCAATAAGACAAAAATGTCACATCCAAACTATAATTATTTCACTTTTTCTCTCATAACCATCAAATAAACTACAAAAAAGAAAAAATCAACTATCATCCCAAACTCAACTTTTTTAGCCAGGCTAAAATAATCAAATAGCCAAATAGCCAAATAGCCAAGTAAAATATCCAAGTTCCCAAACGGGCCCAATATAAACAATGAATCATTATACGAGTTTCTTACAATCCCTCAAATGAATCCACATCACATGGATCTAAAAACATCTTTCCAAATCCACATTGATCTCCCTTGCCTTTAGTCACCTGGAATCCACCAACGATCTCCCAAATTGCCTTTGAGAACCACCAAAGGACTTCCAAGAGAAAGGTATGAAAGGTTTGAAGTGTAATAGACCTTGAAGAGTTCAATCCATCACCATTGATCCATAGAGCTCACAATTTCTTCAAGTAATTTAAGTTCTCTCTCCAACTCAAATATAGTTTTCATCCTCAGATAGAGAAACCCTCAATCGGTTAGATTTGAATCTAGATTAGATTGTAAAATGAGAAGTGTTCAAACCAACCTTTACCACTCAAGCGCACATTTCACGACTAAGAGATAGTTTTCGTCCTTAGAGAGAGAAACCATAGTCGGTTAGATCTGTATCTGGATCAGATTGCAAAACAAAAAAGTGTTCAGACCGACCTTGACCACTCTAGTGCACAGTTCATGGCTTGAGTGCTGACTTCATTAACTCTACCTATATGGCAGTCTTGATCACCTCAATAAACGGAGCCATAGGTCCAGGGCATGAGGATTCATCATAACTAAGAACCAAAGCAAAATCTATAGACTAGAACAATTACAATTTAATCAAAATTAAAGGATTACATTGGAAAAGTGTGTCTAAATGGAATTGCCAAACAACTTCCTAGACTCAAACTCTAGGACTAAGACATATCTTACCAATTTACCTTCAAATTTCATTTCTAGAATAAAGAATGGAAAATTAATGTCAACATCCTTGAAACAATTAACAACCCCTCTACCATTAATTTAATGAGGTACATAACAAAAACTCAATGTTGTAAAAGCATTTCGAACACCCTGAGTGATACTCAAGAACAATATGATACAAAAATAAATATTTATATTTTCATAACTTTAGTACAATTGTACAAGTGCGGCTCCAGCATGCCTCATATGCCTATTTTGTTCTTGATGGAGCTTTCTCATTCATTCTTGCCAATGCCTTATCAAGAGAGCAATTTTTTCAAGATAATATGCATCGGGTGTGAAAACGTTTTTTAAGCTAACCATCTTCCTGCAACAACCCTTTTCCTTCCTTCTCCTTTCTCTAAGTTTGAAGTTGTTAGAATTGTCAGCAATGTTTTTTGATTTAAGTTTATAGTGAGGGTTTTATTGTCATAGTGACATTAGTGTTTTTTATATAAATACGTGCTGGGTGAGGGTTTTTTCATTATGACCCAATAACCCATTCATCATATTCTCTTCTCTCCTCTCTTTCTTGATTATTTCTAGTCAGTGTTATTGAGATCTAGAGATAGTCTCCTCTCTTTCTTGATTATTTCTAGTCAGTGTTATTGAGATCTAGAGATAGTCTTGAGGTAGTTGGTGTCATCATCCGTATGATGACATTAGCGTGATGTCAGCATCTGTACAGACCCCATGATTGGGGGAACACTTATTTTTTTTTTTGGGAACACTTTTTTTTTTTTTTTTTTTTTTGAGCATCAACAAATAAGTTTATTAAAAGAAAATCATGTAGCAAAGAGAGGACAAGGAGTCCTCATACAATGAAAAGAAAACACTACAACAATCAACGGTGCACCCTAGAAAACAGTCCAACACCAAGAATAACACACAGCAGCACAATCCCCACAAATCAAAAAAAAAATGAAAGCCCCTTAAATGGGGACACAGCAGCACAATCCCCACAAATCAAAAAAAAAATGAAAGCCCCTTAAATGGGGGAGACCCAAAGGCCCAAAATGAAGCCAAGTAACCCACCTTATTCCACAAAGATTCCATGTGCAACTCCTTCCCATAATAAATTCTTACATTTCTCTCCAACCAAATGGTCCAAAAGATGGCAAAAACGATGCAAGATCACAATGTTTTGGCTTTCCTATTGCCTCCAAACCCTTCAAAGTTGACAAGAAGCATGTGTGTGCATATCGCCAGAGCTGCCCACTGTATCTCACAGTCCAAAGAGCTGCTGCCACAAGATAAGAGCCACCAGTCAATGTAGAAATAAATGGTCTGCCGATTCCGCATTCCCCTTACACATTATGCACCATTGAGGACAAAGAAGGTGATCAAACCTTCTCCTTTGAAAGAGATCATTGGTCATGACACTTTTATGAGCTAAGGACAGCATAAAAAACTTCACTTTATGAGGAACAACTGCCTTCCAGATTTTCTTATGAAGTGGAAACAAAGGTGATTGGGTGAACACATAGATTGATTCATCTTGCCCTCCTAATCCTTATGGTGATTTTTGTGGATTTTTCTGAAGGCATTGACATGAATTTTCATTTTTTCAAGTATTTTCATTTTTTTAGAATTTTTTTTTTCCATCTATTGCCTAAAACATTACCCGAAGTTTTTTTTTGCCCTGGAATATGCTCTATGGATGTCAACTAAAGTATCCAAATGGTTTCTTGAGGTTGTTTGGTTTGGTGAATTTTTTACCCTTATAGTAGTCAAACCTACTTGTAAAGGCTCCAACATTCTGGTTCGAAAGTCTACAAACATTGTTTTTGGTTTGTGTGGTGCTTCGTTGCCTTTGCCTAGGTGGTTTAGTGCGTGACAGTCTCATCTCTCTCTATTGAAGTTTTCTTCTTGTGCTATTATGTACTTAGGCACCTATTTTTCCTATGGTTGAGGCAAAATCCATGACTAAACCCAAATCCCCCATGCTTATTTGCCTGAATCCATTACTACAAAGAAACTGGATGGTCTAAAGTATATGGCTTGGGCCCATACTATCAAGATTTTTTCACGTAAGAAGAAACTTCTATTTGTTACAGAGCTTCCCCCCTTCCAGACGATAAGGCCTTTGATGGTTAGTCAAGTGGGGATTCTGTTGTGATGGGCCGGCCCTGGCATTGTTTAGAACCTGATATTGCGACTACTGTTAACTATTGTAAGACATCTAAGCAAATTTGGGATTCTCTCAATTGTTTTCCCATCAAAGTAATGTTTCTCATGTGTATGAATTGTATGAATGGATGTTTGCCTCTAAGCAATCTGGAGTCCGTTGTCTAAATATTACAACAATCTAAAGAATTTGTGGGATCAACTATTACAGCAGAGATCCTTTCCCATTGATTTGACATAGCACAAGCACAATTGGGAGGAGTTTATGATTTCATTGTTGCTTTCTGGTTTGGATTCAGACTTGCGAAGTTTTAAGGATCAAATTCTTGCTAGTGAGAGACTCCCTACAACTACTAATGCCTACTCTCACCTATTACATTCCTCGTTGGGACAGCGCTCCCTTATGATTGGTTCCAATTATGGTTCCCCCTCTCTCGCCTCTTCTGCTTTGGTGTCTAGTAGTGGCGGTCGCGATTCTAATCATGGTAGTTATTATGGAGGTACTGATGCAACATATGCAAAGTTATTCATATAATTCACATTTACCACTCAAGCCTCTTGAAGTTACATCTAAGTTTGCAAACTATGACTTGCTATCAATTTCACATATTACATAATGAAACCTATACTCCACTTTCCCAATAAGGATTGACCTTCTTTCCTTTTTCTACAAGTCCTACAATATATGAGTTATGTACAAATTTAAGACATGAAACTTTTGTTACTTTCTCAATTCTCAGAAGACCCTGGTCATAAAATAAATTAATTGGTTTGTTCAATGTGAGCACATTAATTGGTCCAAACCAATGAGTAAAATTGCAAATTTGACAAAAAAGATAAGACAGGAATGAAATAACTACATCTAAAATTACAAGCCCTCAAAGCAGTCATCCATAAAATGATGTTGAGAGTAGTTTTTGGCAAATGTCTTGTTACTTACATATTGATTAAGGAAAAAGTATGAGGTGGTTCAGCACCATCAGCTTTCCATCAGAAGTGACAATCCTTTCAATAGTCATTAACACCCAGCAAATGAGGTCATGACAATAGTTAATGAGCATCGCCAATTCACAGTATGTTCCATCACTGCCAAAGCAAATCACTTGATGATGCAACATTTTGCCAGACAAGTAAATGGAGGCCCCTACTGTTACTATATGATTTGGACATCTACAACTATTCAAGTAGCCTCCACTATTTAAGGAAACTTCCATTCAAATCTTGAGATTTCTTACCTCAAGAACTAGATTTTAAAAAAAAATTGTGTGCGCGTAAATATTGCTTGATTGTACAGCTCAACTATGTTGATTCCAAAAATGCAGCTCAATTACCGATTAAATATAAATGCATGCATAAAAAAACGATAGTATAAAATTTGTTGGGGAAGTTTCAAAAACCTTCTAATGAAACTGTCAGAACCAGCGCCAAAAGCAACTGACTCATTCTGGAAACAACAATCAAGAAGTGCAGCTTCGGAGGGAGCCTCTACTCGGAGCATAAAGCTATCCAAATCATACAATCGAACACTCTGCACACATTACATGAACCACCACAATACATCAACATATATACTAGCGGGTGGCACACACAATGCATGTGTAATTCAGATAAATAAGAATAAAAATAAATAATAAAGAAATTAATTTCATAATACATATGTTGTCGAAGTGGTAAGAGTGTTATTAATGAAACCCAAGTCTTGGGTTCAAACCTTGCTCACGCCTTTGAATAATAATTTTTTATTTTGGAAGAAGGATAAGCCATCAAACAATTAGACACCAAGTCCAATACCTGAACTAACTAAATAAAAAATATTCACAATTATTAAATAAAATGATTATAAAATTAAAATTTGTACCATAAACAACAACAAAAAAAAAAATTGAGACATTTTTTTAGACAACACTTTACATCTAACTAAATAAAATTATTTATAATTAAGTATTAAATGAAATGATTACAAAAATAAAAATTGTGCCATAAACAAAGAAAAAAACAATTGAACTACTGCTTTCATGTATTTTTTTAAAGACACTTTTTAGGCAACATATTACAATAACAAAATAAAAAAATATTTACAATTAAATATTAAATAAAATGATTATTATTACAATAACAAAATAAAAAAATATTTACAATTAAATATTAAATAAAATGATTATAAAAAATAAATATAATCACTGTTTGTATATTTTTTATTTTACATGTTAATGTAATGAAATAAAAATTTTATAAAAAAAATTATAAAGAAAAAAATTCATATAAGATTTTTTCTTTGGACTTGAATCACTCGAATATTTGTTCCTTTTTTGTAAGTTTTTTCTTGGGGGGAAAGAAGCTATAAAAAATTATATAAGATTTTTTCTTTGGACTTGAATCACTCGAATATTTGTTCCTTTTTTGTAAGTTTTTTTTTGGGGGGGAAAGAAGCTATTCAAAATAGTATAAAATATTGTAAAAGGGTATAACGGTGCTGTAACGAACCGGTACAGCCGTTACAGCACCATTTCGGCCATTATGTAACACCAAAACAACAGTTACACATGTGAATTTTCGTCACACCACTATAACGGCTGTAACCGGTGTCAGTAATCATCACAACCGTTACATAACAGCGTTAAGTAATGGTTTTTAAAACCTTGTCACATATACGATAGTATAAATAGATAGAAGATATATATATACACATGAGTGAAATGAAATACATTACATAAGTAATTTTGACATAGATAGATGTAGAGTAAGGAATGCAGAAATGAAGAGAATACATACGGTGTCCCAGGAAGAGATGAGGAGATTGTTGGATTTGGGAGCGAATCTGATCCTGGTAATGGCGTCTCCAATTGGGTTTTGGAACTTCAAACGAGTTCCCTCATTCATTTTCTGAACCCAGAGGAGAAAGGGAGCTCAGGACATTCGATTCAGAAGGGGTGTATCGAATTGAGGTGTAATTTACCTGGGATTTTTTGAACCCTAAAACTGGGGAAAACTTCAAACCCTAAATTTGGTCTCTGAAGTTCGATTTGTCCGAATCCACAGCTTCTTCCGGTGAACCACTGACATTGAAGTGGGTGTGTGTGGTCTTGTAGTAGTAGTAGCAGCAGTAGCAGTTTGTGAAAGTGCCAAGTGCAGTACAGAGACAGAGAGGGGGCAGACAAGTAAAACGAAAGTTATTCAAATGTTTGACCTGAAATGTTCCCGCTCGGTGGCTTATATTAGAGTTGTTTGGCTACCACTAAAAAATTGTATTTATATTTTTTTTGGATCATATTTTTTTAGGGAAGTAGGAAATTGGTATAATTCATAATTCGATTCAGTTCAGTGTAATTCGATAGGTTTTAATTGATTTTTTGAATTCATGGTTCAGTTCTGAATTGGAAATTAAAAATCCGTAGGCCACGGATCGGTTTCGAATTAGAACTAATCCGGACCGTATATAAATATTTATATTATTGACCCTCCCATATAATATCATTTCTTATTTCATATAAAAGCTAAATCCTAACCCTAATTCAACATATCACACGCCACTGTCTCTCACACTCTCATCTCTCTCTTGGTACTCTCCCTCTCTTCTCTTTTTCAGACTAAAAGTTATCTCTCTATTTTTTGAATAACATATTTGATGAGTATAAATAGTTTGAGACAATTGTTTCATCTTTAAATGAAATGGATTATGAGGTAGATATTGTTAATCAAGTAAACATTGGTGCAAGTGAGCACCAAGTGTCTCTTATGACAAGATTTCAAAAGCTTTTGAAGGAAGAAGAAGGTGACGGAGGAAAGTCAAAAGTAAATAGTTATTTGGAAGAATCTTGTGAAAAGGAACCTGCAAACTTTGACATCTTTAGTTGGTAGAAGACAAATTCTTCAACATATAAAGTTTTCTCAAGTTGCAATGGATATTTTGGCCATTCTTGTCTCTATTGTTGCTTTCGAGTCTACTGTCAACACTGAAGGTCATATCCTTGATCAATTTCGTAGTTCTCTTACTCCAAAACAAGCCATGCGAACCACGAGAGCTTCAGCTAGAAGAGCTAGGGAGGCAGCTAAATTTCCTGGCATTGACATCAATAAAATGGCCATTAGAATTCCTGATAAAAGCTACAAGAGTAGCCTTGGAAGTCATTTGGCAGAAAGTGACAATGGAAGCTAGGATCAAGCTGAAGGTGAGTCGGGCGATGGAAATATAAGGGGCGAAATTGAGCTCTGAAAAGGTCTAAGCAGAAGATCTTGCTCAACCCATTCATGAGCAATGCGCAGGAGGGTGGCCGAGAGATCCACGGGAATATGGTTGAAGATGAATGCATTCTGAGATTTCCAAATAAACTAACCTATTGTAGCCACTCTGCTAAGAAGTTGCATAGTCACATCTTCGGGCAAGCTTGACATAAGCAAATTGCTAATCCATGATGCAACATTAGGAATGGACCCGTTATCCACTCTTAAATTTATAGCACTCACAAACCAAATCGCCTTAGTCCAAGGACAATCAAAAAGAAAATGTTCCATAGATTCATTCTCAGATTGGCATATGGGACAAATCATTGATGCACTGCATTTTCATTTATGGAGTCCTATATTTGTTGCCAACACATTGTTACTAGTTCTCCACCAAAAGTGACGAATATAGCGACTCGGGTTAAGACTCGACCCTTTTATACTCTTTGGTTTGGAGTCTAGTGTTTGGTGTTGTTGTTTATAATTGTTCTAGCCATATATTGTTTCTTGCAAGTTGATAATGTAGTTTTGGAGTTGTTTTATGCAGGTTGGGACTTAGTATTTATGGGGGAATTCTACTTGTTAGTCTTGGGTTTACTTGAGCAGTGAGTTGGTTGCTCGAGCAGTCTTTTGCTTCTCCCAGAACCTGTGCTTGCAGGCTGAACTTTTGGGAGTGGGTTTTCTTTGCTTAAGTAGTGGTTTGGTCGTTTGAGCGACGGTCTATTTACAGTTTGAACTTCTAAGAGTTTGGATTCTACGCTCGAACAGTGTTTTGTTCATAGCGATTTGTTCTGCAGGGTTAGTCTTCTGGGAGTTTGGTATCTTTACTCAAGCCTAGGTTTGTTCACTTGAGCGATGCCCTATGTCTAGCACTCAAACAGTGTTTTGTCGCTCAAACGGTTTGTTTGCATAAAGTTACGAGGAAAAGATCTTTTTATCACTTTTCTGATCTTTCACTCTCTCTAAAAGGTCTCTACACCCATTTTTCTTCTCTCTCTCTCTCTCTCTATATATATATATATATGTTCTTATAGAAATCACTCCATATATCCTAATCTGCTAATCTAGATGTCTTGATGCTTGAGGATAAAAGATAGAGCATGAAGAGGTGATCGTTTTGATCTGAAAAGGTTCAAGATCTGCCTCCATTGATTTTGGGATTGTTCTTCCTTTTCCTTCTTCTATTGAGATAGTGATTCCTTTAACCTTTCTGTATGATTTTTAACTTCGTTATGTGCTCTCAAGTAAAGTAATATTTTGGGTTGATTTAGGTTTGATTTGGATTATTAAATAGGGGTTTTGGAATGGTTTCCTTTGCAATGTTGTGGGGTTGATTTTGTTGATATGTAATAGGGTAAATTACAAATACACCCCCTGAGGTTTTATTAAAATACGAATCACCCTCTGTAGTTTTGGAAATTACATTTCACCCCTGAGGTTTATAATTTCATAACAAATTACTCATTTTATTAATAAATCATCAAGTCAATTAACAGTTTTTAATGATGTTAAAAATATATTTCAATTAATAATTTAAGTAATTTTATTATTGTATTGGAGTGCAATTGTGAATTTTAATTTTTTTAGTTAATTCTGTTAAATAAAAAATTCTAATAAGGGGTACTTGTAATTTTTCAAACCACAGGGACTAATTTGTATTTTAAACAAACCTCAAGGGGTGTATTTGTAATTTACCCTATGTAATATTGGAAATCATGGAATTTCTATCGAAAGAGGCTTTTTGAAAGAAACATATGTTGTTTTGAAATATTGAAAATCATTGTGATTGATTGGTTTTGGAACAAAGATGGAAAGTGGTAGGATTGTGGAATAATGATGTAATTCATGTTTGATTGGGAATGAAGAGTTGAACACGTATTGTTACTCATTTGTTGAAAATTTGGAAATTCTATCTGTTGCTTGAAATTTATCTGTTGAATAGAGATATTTATTTTGGCTATTGATGAAGGATAACATTGATTGTTGAGAAATTGCTTGAGAATTAGATTAATTAAAACCATTCACTCATGCATTGTATTTAAACACTTGTTTCATATTTATACATTAAAAATATATTGTTTTGAGAAAAATAGGCGAATACCTTGGTGAATCTAATTAAGGGGTGTGGTTGTGGTTTTGGTTATTATGTTGGCCTGTGTATCCTTGGTAAAAGTCTATAAACCTGTGCAGTTAGGTGTCAATATTTTCGGTTAATATCGGTAAAATAGCTTTGGTAGTGATTATATACCCTATTGGCAAATACATACTTAGAGATTCCCAGTGTATGTATCTATTGCCCTGTTTTCTATTTTGGAACTAACGGTTTATGAATTAAAACATACACATGGCATTCCATTTTTGAAAGAGAAAATGCATCGGTTTGGCAAATGGCATTTATGTGCATTCACCATATGGCATTGTTAAGCATCATACAGAATGTTAAATTTATCTTTACTGGGCTTTAGTTGACCCTATGTAAAAGCCAACTTTCAGGTACTAATGATTTGTCTCCGCCAAAGAGTTAGCCCGAGAGGATTGTAGAGCTGAAGGCTCATTTTCTTTTGTTTTGTAAATATCTTTTGTACAAACCTAGGGCTTTATTTGTATTAGGCTTGACTCATTTTTGTTGTAACCAGACATTGTCTTGGAAATATGTAGCCATTAGGGTATAAACTCATCTTTATTCCTTTTTCATTTTTATGTATATCTATCGCATGCTATAGATTCATAATCTAGGGTTAATGAATGTATTAATACATGTGACATCTTTTGTTATATCTCAAGGGAATCAATGAATGAAAGATCTTTCTGAAAAATACTCTAGTTATTGAATGATTGAGAGATTTATTGTTAGTGAGCTTCTGCATATCTATAGAGTATGATGAGGGTATCTATTGTCTTTATTTTCGGGGCGTTGCAACGGATTTGGGAGGGGTGTCTATTTGCCACACTGATTTCCACAAACAATCCACAATAGTTGTAAAGGAAGATGGGGCACTAACCGAAGATTTGCTGAGAGACCTAGCCAAAGCATACCGAAGCTTTACCGAATAGATTCCTGATTTGGTATGATTCCAAACCTAGTTATCATCTCTATCTTCCATTGCTATAGAGATGGCTTGAATGGCTTCCCTTTCCTCCATAGGAATAGACACAGTGAAAACATTAGATTCAACAATTTTACTAAAATTATTCAGAAATATCAACATGTATAGTCCAAATTTATTCTACGTATAAACTTCACAATACACGCCATATTCTTTAATTTAGAGTAGAAATCTAAGATCCATAAATCTAGATAATTTTCTGAATAAATCTATTTTGTCTCTCTATTTACCACCCTTGATCAAAACCTCAACCAGTTTGATTCTCATGATTCTGATAAAATAAGAACATTAAAAATAAAGAAAGAATCAACATGAAAAAGCACACACCTTTTAGGATAAGAAGCTTTGAAATTCTATATATTTAACAAATGGAACCATGAATAGAAGCAATCCAATGGCAAATAAAATCATTCCAATTTATCATATAGAATGATAATGGATTAAGGAACGATCCTCGTTCAAATAGAAAGTAAAGAGAATGATTTTATTAAATTTCATCCTTTTTAGTGAGAGAAGTAAAGGGTTTCCTAGTTTGCAAAAATTAGGAGAAAGAATAGAGAGGTTGCTCAGATAGAAGATTAGGGAGAGAAACAACATCAATTTCATGTCTATTTAGTAATTGGTATGAAACGACAACGTTTATTGCTTTAGCATATATGTCATACTTTGAGCCATTGATCAAATAAGATAATGATGTGGCACAATCTTAGTTTATGAACAGGACCATCCAATTTAAAACCAAATTGGAGACAAGAGACAAGCCCTATCCTTGTTTTAATCCAGAATTTATGACTTTATTTCTATTTGGTCAAATTGATTACAACTCTTAGCATTTT